AGGGAACTTCTCCTCCAGCATGGGAAGGATGGGAGGATGGTGTTCATAACCATAGTACCCTGGATACCTTAATACCTTTTCCTCTTTATATGTTTGAGACAGGATCTCATTCTGTAGTACAGCCTAGCCTGGATATCTGTAGTTCAAGCTGGCCTGGAACTTGAGATCATCTTCCATTGTTGAGGTTACAGGCTGAGGCCCAGCTGAGAGCAGCTTGCCTTCAGAAGCAATGGGTGGGCATGGCTCAGGGGCTGCAGAAGTTTTAGAAAACTGGGACACAGCTTAGCTTTTGGAAAAAAGCCGACTGGGTCAGTCTCACCTCCCTGTGCCTCCGTTTATAAAAACACAGCTTGCTCCTGCTCTCCAGGAACCTGCATATTGAGACAGCCTCTCTACCACTGCTCTTCTGGTCCATTTTTACATGTGCTCTGAGAAGGACCCATGGGTCTGTGTTGTTCGGGATTCCTTAGGTATTCAGAGCCTGGGGAAGTCTAAGGCGGATAATGAAGGCAGCCTGCCTGGGTTCGAACTTTGCTTCAGCTCTAGCATGGACAGTTAGTTCATCGCTTTTCTAAGAAGTCCACTCATCTGTATGATAGGAATATAATAATGGTGGCTATCCTCACAGGATCCTCTGAGGACTACCTGAAGCCACGCCGGAAACAGTGTGAGGGTGTACTGGGTCCTCAGAACTGTGCTATGTAAACCTCGCTAAGCTTTGGCAGCACCACCAGAAAGATGAGTCCGGAGCCACATTCTCAGTGATGAAACTCAGGCTAGAGGGATTGTTTGGTGAAGGCGCTAAGTAAGAGGCCAGTATGGATGCCAGTCTACCCATGCCTTAAGGCTCATCCTGTAAAACACTATGCCGGTGTCAATGCAGGGAATTGCAGTGGTCTAGCCTGGACTAGTGCTGTGCTAACCTAGTGTCTCTTCATGGATAACCTTTACTGCCTTGACTCCTAGACGTTTCTGCATTGACCCCTGACCCACAAACGTAGGTGCTCCTTTTGGTGCATTTTTGTGTTGGGCATGACACTCTTCACATTCTGTTGCCTCCAGAGAATTTTTTCTGTGCAGGATGAAGCTGGCTTGAAGAGTAGAAAACCTAGTTAGAAGTAACTGTGACCCGAGATCACTTTCTTTTTGACTCAGTTTCCTCGGGGGCTGCACTGCTCGCTCACGGGACCTGTGCTGTGGAAGAGGGGGTAACAAGGTGCAGCATCTGCTCCGTAGCCCTGCCAAGCCCAGGAGGCTCTCTCCTTTGTGGAGCACAGCAGCCTGGCCTTGCTTCTCAGGAGTCTCGGGGTTGGTGTAAACAGCCTGTGGCCTCCGCCTGCTCTCTCTTAAAGCCTTCCTCCGTCGTCTGCGCGGCCTCCGTCTGCGCGGCCTCCGTCTGCGCGGCCTCCGTTCTGCGCGGCCCGCTGCCGGCTCGCCGCACTGCCCACCAGCAGCGCCACTTCCTGTATGCGCAGTGCTGCAGCCACCTGCCTGGCTTTCTCAAGCCCTCCAGGCTGTCTCCGGTAGTCAGTGACTGAAAACCAAGTCCTGTCCTGCCTCCCCACTTACTGAAGACACTGTTCTTAGGCAGTGCATCTGTTCGTAGGTCAAAGCCATGCTCCCAGCACTGGGGTCCCACTCATCTCTTTCCATGTGGCTTTCTTGCAGCTCTACATGCTGACTGTCCTCAGTCCATGTTCCTCGGGCTTCTTGGAACCTGGTGACACTACCCTCCTGCCAATCATCTGGGCCCTGGCCAGGCCAGCCTCCCGTGTCACACAGAGCCCTTTTCCTGCATAGCCTCAGCCGCCTGCCCCACTTCCCAGCTAGGACTTCCTAGCGAGGCCATGCCTCTCGTCCGGATCTGCTGATGTCCCGGTCTCCCACCGCCATGGTGGGTGTGACTCGCTCCCAGGCCCACTCAGCACAGGCACTCACCAAGTAGCTGCTGTAAAACTGAGGACAGACTCTGGCCATAGCTGTAATAGTTACCCATAAAAGTGGGCGGGGCACAGTTCTCAGTGGTGTGGATATTTATGAACACACTTTCAAGGGCTACTCTTGGGATTTCAGGGTCCCCAAAAGGAAGTTTCTACTAGGTCCCCTGAGCCCTCGTATTTCAAGGTGGCTCAGCCAGGTGTGGTGCCACGTTTGTGCAATCTCAACAGCTGGGAGGTAGAGGCAGGAAGATCATCCTTGGCCATGGAACAAGTTCAAGGCCAGCCTGGAGACCCTGTCTCAGAAAAAAATAAATAAGCACTCCTTTAATCCCAGGACTCTGGAGGCAGAGCCAGGCGGATCTCTGTGAGTTCAAGGCCAGCCTGGTCTACAGAGTGAGTTCCAGGACAGCCAGAGCTACACAGAGAGACCCTGTCTTGAAGATAGATAGATAGATAGATAGATAGATAGATAGATAGATAGATAGATAGATAGATAGATAGATAGATAGACCCTGTCTTGAAGATAGATAGATAGATAGATAGATAGATAGATAGATAGATAGATAGACAGACAGATAAAATTAAGGTAGTTTCTACAGACGGAGCCATGGTCACATGATGGCCTACTCACCTTTCCTTAGGCAGTGTCACTTTGTGTGTGAGCTTCAGAGTTAATGACACGGAAAACGCGTGCGTGCGTGCGGGCATGCGTGCGTGTGTGCATGCGTGCGTGCGGCGTGCTGATGGGGATGGAGCCCAGTCTCATGCATGCTCAACAAGCACCCTGCCAATGAGCTTCAGCCTGGCCCTGCTGTCCAGAAGCCTCATGCCGCGTCTGACCAGCGTTTTCCCTCACACCTTAATGTTCTTTGGTCCTTAAGAGTCTTCCTCGTGCGAGGGCTGGACATTATCCTAACCCCACCACTAACGAGGGCTTCCAAGTCAGAACGGCTTCCCTTGGCTTGTTGCAATGACGTCTATGCAAAGGGGACTTCCTTCTTTGTTAACTTGTATGAAAAGTTGATTAATTTGTTCTCCTTTGGGCTACACATTAAAATACATCCCATTTATTCAGCATTTGCTGTGTGCACTGGCACCGTACAGAACAGTCCATGGACGCTTCTGTTTGACCCTCACACCTCCTTGGTGATGTGTGAGCACTGTTATCCCGTTTATAGAGGAGAAACGGAGGCCCCAAGAAGTGAAGGAGTGTGTGCGCGGTCGCCCCAGTGTGCTAGTGTAGCTGGAGTCCGGTTCTGGCGCACATGCCCTCAGCCAGCAAATGTTTCTGCCACTGGCAGCTTCTGTGTGGTCGGTCTGAAACCTTCCTGTGTCTGTGCTCTGAGTGGACCACAGCTTGTGCACTTTAAACCCCGTTTAGATTGCTTGCTGCTTACGATACGAACTCAAAGCGAGCCAGGCAGAGTCACGGTAGTGTAGCCTAGCCGGTATAGTGGAACTGTATCGCCCAATGATGTGTTCTTTCCTTTAAAACAATGCTTTCTTCCACTTTTATCTTAATACCATCTCCTTCATATTTATTTGTCGTAACTGCAGTCTAGGGCCATACTTAGAAAGGCAGCACCAGGTGTGGGATTCTCGTGCCCTGGGATCTGTTCTTTGTCCTGCTCCTTCAAGCTGCTGAGTCACCCTCCCTCTGGGAAGGTCTGACCAATCCCAGGCCCTGCTGGGAGGCATAGGTGGAGCTAGGGAAAGAGCTCTTCTTCTGGGTTCCGGCTTCTTGTGCAGCTTAGGTTTATCTGGCCCCCAGCTTGTTTCAGATAGCCTCAGCCCAGGGGCTTCATCGCTGGCTCCTTGTCTGTTCGTCCCTCCAATCTGGGGACCATGTAACTGCCAATGGCCTTGCCGCCACCTTGGGTCTCAGATCTTCTCGTTGGATTTTCGGTGATGTGCACAGCCAGGGCTTTCTGTTCTCCAGGGAGGACCTGGATTGGATACCGTGTAGCCCCACGTGTGATTGCAATCCTTAGTTTGCCGGAGAGATTTAGACAGTGGCTGTGGTCGCTGGGTTCGAACCCAGTGTTCTCTGGCGGTTCTGTGGGGAGACTCCCAGTAGCAGTTCTAATGGGTCACTACAAGCGGCTCGTGCTGCTCAAGTCGATGCTGTCCCTGTCCGTGAAGCTGCAGCCTGTCCTCCGCAGTGTGGCTTCCCGGCTTACAGAACCGGCCCAGTTCCAACCTGAGCTGCAGTTTCTGTGGGCCCAGGAGGTTTTGCCTGAGTGCAGTAGCCCCGGGCTCCACTCTGGTGTGCCTCCATGTGTGCTGTTGGTGTCTGAGGGGCCAGGTGACAGATTATGGAACAGGCAGGCTGGGTCCATCTCCTCCACTGGAGAAAACACAGAGAAGTTCTTTTTGATTCGGAGCCAGCAATGATCTTCATTCATGCCCGGAAAGCATGTGAGCAGGCAGGGAAAAATACACCCAGCCACTGAGCCGGCCCTAGACTTGAGTTTCACTATGTTTCAAATGTGATGTTTTAGGGGCTGGAGAGAGGCTCGGTGGTTATGAATGCTTGCTCCTTTTGTAGAGGACTCGGGTTCGGTTCCCAACACTCACGTCAGATAGCTCACAACCATCTGACTTCACTTCCCCTGCATCCCACCCTCTCTTCTGGCCTCCATATGTGTGTCACACACATGAGTACACACACACACACACACACACACACACACACACACACACACGAGTATACACACACATGTATATAAACACACACAAGTACAGACATGCATACATGAGTATACACACATGTACACACACGAATAAAAATAAATCTTTTTTTGTAAAATAAATCTTTTTTTGTAAAGGTCATGTTTTATTTGTGGACCCTGGGTATGAAAACAATGCCCATGTGATGCTCTTCTGAGACAACCTGTCCTCTCTTCCTCAGTTACAAGCATAGTCTTATTTATATTCCTTAAATGTCATTGAAAAAGCACCAGTCTTTCCAGTATTGTGTGTGTATGTTTGGAGCCAGATGCGCTGGGTGTGTTAAGTAACTTTAATTTACTAAACCTCCCTCCCCCTCCCCTGCCCCAGCCCTTTCTTTTCAGAAGACACATTTAGACAATCACCATTCACCTCCAATTCTAAAGACCTGCTGCCCGGAGAAGCCGTGCTGCATGGAAGAATACCGGCTGCAGGTAAGGACACACTGTTGCCTGCTTCTGCCGCCGCCGCCGCCGCTGGCGGCGGCTGCTTGAGAATGGCTTTTCTGAAATGTGTTTTCAGATGCTCATGGCTTAGGCAGTGCAGCTATTCCTGTGAAGGTAGGTTTTAGAAAAGAGGGAGACGTGCCTTTGAAACTGCCATAAAAGTTTACTGACATAAAATGCAGACTGTGGACACTCCTTTGTCTGTTTTAGGATCTGACCATCCCGTCCTGGCGTTATTTTGTCCACGTAGTGAATTTCTTTGTCTTTAAAATAGAGAACTGTAAGGGCAGGGAGACGTCCGGGACGGCTTGGTCAGTGTTTAATACACCATCATGGGGACCTGAGCTCCATCCCAGCTCACATACCCTGAGCCCCACTGCTCACCTACAGTCCCAGGATGGCAGACAAGACAGCAGGCACTGGGGCCTGCTGGGCAGCCACTCTGGCCAAATCCAAGCTGCAGGTTCAAGAGATACCCTGTGTCAAAGCTAAGGTGAGAAGACCTCATTGTTGAGCTCTGGCCTCCACATGTGCATGTACACAGACAGACAGACAGACAGGCGCACACGGAAGCTGTAACCTGAAAATGATTCTGTCATATATGTCGTCAGTAGTTACGGCAGGCAGTCAGAGCTGGGGGAGGCTGCGGTGAGCACTAGCTGCTGCAGCCTGTGGGCTCCACATACACCACCATCCGGGAGACATGACCTCCCCGAATTCCGTCTCTCTTAGCCACAGTGCCTACTGCAGCCACCATCAGAGCCTCCTTGCAATCTCAGCCACCAACACACAATTTCCCCCTGTCCTTCACTTCCCTTTTCTAGAGTTTTAAAAGAGAGTATTATGCTTTTATCAAGGCACAGCTGTCCCTCAGGGCGTGTGTGTGTGTGTGTGTGTGTGTGTGTGTGTGTGTGTGTGTGTGTGAACAATTGTTATGGAGCATATGTTAACCACTTACCCACCCACCCTCCCATTCCACCACCGTCCATTCTGTCTTGGCCATTGACGGACACTCAAAAGCACTCCATGATCCCTGTCCTCAGAATGTCTCTGAGAGCAGAATGGGAGACTGAGGTTCTGTGTGAATGTGAGTGTGTGTGTGTGTGTGTGTGTGTGTGTGTGTGTGTGTGTGTGTGTACGTACAGGAAGGGCTTCAAATAGGGTTATTGGTCCTGTAACCCTTTCCAGAATCAAGTCCAAGTACTGCCACATCCCCAGGAACTGTGCTTTCCAGAATGTTGAGAGCTGAGTAACTTAAAATGTAGAAGAGTCAAGTGGCTTCTTGTGAAGTGTCATGTGAGTGAGCGTCACAGTGTGTGCCACGCAGAGGGAAAGTCAAGCCCGCCCTTCTTGAACCTAGCAGTGGCAGATCCCAGCGTTTTCTTGGCTCTATAGGCGGAACATTTCTGCTCAGTCTCTGGAGGGAGCGTGCGCACATGGGAAGACATGATGTAATGGCTGGTTCGAGGGATGGAAGGACGGTCTGTTTAGTTTTCTATCTTCCTTCTCAGGCAGGGTGTCTTGGAGCTACTGTTTGCTCCCTACAGTGTCATTTGAAAAGCTGTCACCCTGGTCCCCAAAATTATTGTCCTGCTGTTAAGTTGATGGATTGTGACTTTCTAATGTCAAAATAACTGCCCAGGAATTGCCTGTCAGAGTGCTGTGACCCATACAGCTAGTATCCCGTGATATATATATAAGCCCCATGTTGCTGGTGTCACATCTGGCTTAGCTGTGTTTAACAATTTAAAAATTGGAGGGGTTTGGAGGAGACAAATCAGAGAACGTTTAGCTGCAATGTGTGTGGGAGGTGTTCTGTGGTGGTAGGTTTACATTGCATGTTAGATAAACTCACATTTTTAGAGCTAGCTCTTATTTGGGGGGAGATGGGGTGAACTTCACTGGGACTTTAAACATGCAAACCAATTCTCACAAAGAATAATCAAGATACTGTTGAACAGAGCCCTTCTGTAGGCAGCGAGAAACCAAATGATCCTTGTGTGTTCACATTTTGCTTAAGTAAATGAAGAATTTGGTTTTTGGCGTGGAAGGTGAAAATACTTTGGAAATAGAGTTAAAATGAAAAGATTTGAAATGCCAGGGACATGCATGAAGTTTTCCTCACTGAAGACAGTACTGTAAAGAGAGCCCCAGAAACCCACTAACTAGAAAAGACCAAAAAGACCATTTGGATGAACCAGAGTTTGGAATGTGGATACCCTGGAGGAAAACAGGCTTCCTTCAAGTCTGGACTGTGTAAATGGCCACTGTATCCTTGTGCCAGCTTCCTGGTCCCTTCGTGCAGCTCTGAGAGGCACAGAAGCCTCACTGGAGGAGGGCTTGCTTTGGCTCACGGTTCAGAGTTGACAGCCGTCACGGAGCAGGGGCCGGGTGCTAGGGGCAGCTTGGTCTGCAATGCCTGCTGAAGAGCAGAGTCAGGGACTCCGAGCTCAGCTTCCTATCTGTTTTCCTTCTTCTCTTTTTCCTCAGTTCAACTCCCAGACTAGGAGAGACTGTTCACTAACCATCAAGGTGGGCATCAACTCCTCACCTAATCCTCTCTAATCTAGCCCTGGTAGACACACCCAGAGGTCTGCTTCACTAATGCCCGTGGTGTTGGAAAGTGCCCCGGCACACACGTGGGGGTCAGAAGGCAGCTTGCAGCAGTCGCTTCTCTCTCCACTCTGCAGCTCCCAGGGATCGAACTGAGGTCTCCACGCTTGGCGGTGGTTTTCCTCGATGCCTCTGAAGGGGTCTTAGTCCAGTCAAGTGGAAAGTAGGAGCCAAAGATCGTAGCCACCAACCAGAATTTTAGAATGAACTATATTTAAACAATGTATTTATTTTTATTTTATGTGCATTCGTGGTTTTGCCTGCATGTGTGTCTGTCTGTGTGAGGGTGTCGGACCCCCTGGAACTGGAGTTACAGACAGTTGTGAGCTGTCACAGGGCGCTGGGAATTCAACCTGGGTCCTCTGGAAGAGTGGTCAGTGCTCTTAACCACTGCGCCATCTCTACAGCCCCCTGAATGAATACTTTTAAGTCATCGCCCGTTAGGTTTAGTGAGAGTCTGTTTGCATGTGACAAGGAGGGAATCTGTGTATTTTGTTACTGAAATATCAGGTGGTAAAGTCTTACCTCTTGGTACTGTTAACACTACACAGTGGTATGCACCAACTCGCCATACTGAAAGCAGGGAAGTGTGGATCCCAAAATACATCTGGACCTAAGGGTATCACATAGACATTCTCAGTTCACATGTGGGTTCACTGGTTCAGTGCTAAGAACAGAGACGGAAGCTCCAGTTGAAGATCTTGAAAGATCTGGAAAACCCTGAATGACACTTGAGCAGCAGATTGCTGAACCACTGGGGAATGTGGGATTTAAAGGAGAACAGGGGTCTTGTAGTCCCAGGATGGCATCACTAGTGAGAGCCTGGGTAGAAACAAGGAAGGAGGGCCCAGAAGTTGACTGAGCTGGGAGATTGCTCCACTTTGCAATCAACAGGTTGGTATGAAAGGTAACTGTGCAGAAATGGGAGGCAGGGAAGAGGTGGCTGATGGGAGGTAGGGAAGAGATGTTGATGGGGAGGCAGGGATGATGGTGGCTGATGGGGAGGCAGGGATGAGGGTGGCTGTCTTTTCAGTCTGTCTTTGTAGTGCATAGGTACAAACTTGTTAGTGTATCAGTGAAAGCTTCAGCATTCTTAGAAACCTTTTTCTAGGTCATTTAAATGCCGCCATTAAAATATTATTTTCTACTCTTTATTCTCTTAGCAAACTTATTTCCTCAGGAAAAGCAAGATCAGTGTCAGCCCAGTGGATTTTCTTTGATTCCCAGTAGTGAATGAGGCTCTGTGTGGCCAGTGACAATCTACAGAATCCCTGGTACATGCAGCAGACACAGCAATATGTCAACAGCAGACTTCGGTATATTGTTCTAAACTGCTGTGGTTTGGATTTGAAGTGCCCTCGGTGGCCTGTGTGTGTAGAAGGCTTGGTTCTCAGCTTTGTGGTCTTGGGAGGAGGTAGGACCCTTAGCAGAGAGGGCTCAATGTTAGGTCAATGGAGACATGCCCCTGCAGGAGATACTAGAGCCCTGGCCCCTCCTGCTTTCTCTTCGCTTCTTGGCCACAGTGAGGTGAGGTAGATTAGAGTACTGGGGCCAAGCAAACGTGGAACTCTGGGCGGCGAGCCACACTGAGCCTCTGCCCCGTTAGTGGATTTTCTCACTTGTCGCTGTGCGGGGTGACTGGTACACAGGCGTTTACTGGTGGGATAGCATCATTCTCCCAGTGCTCCCCAAGGGAGGCCAAGCAGTGCAAGGGAGACCTCGCATGCTAGATCAGAGTTCCAGTTGAAGTGGACAGCTGTGCCAAGGGGGCCGTGGTCAGGTTCTGTGTGTGGATGCATTTGGGGCAGGGAGGGGGCTGGCAGAGAAGGGTGATGTTGGTAGGAGCTACGTACGGACTGTGAAGAAATCGAGAATAGCACAGTTAACAAGGCATTTGCCTTCAGCAGATGGCATCTGCAGCTCACAGCTGCCACCATCTCAGAGACACAGAATAAGCCCAGAGCCTCCCAGTGCCTTGGCCTTGGTTGTGCCAATATTTCTAGACTGACTTCCCTGAGAACCAGACCCGACATTCTCGCCTGCTGCGAGCATCTTAAGCAGAGGTAACATTGGAAATCCTTAATAATCATGAGACAAAAGTCATTGTCGCTTTGTGCCAGAGTGGTATGGGGACATGGGACCCCTAAAGGCACGTGTGGATCCTGAGTGTGCCCTGGGTGATTGTACAGAAGGGGTAAAGGAGCTTTGCTGTGAGGTGGGAGAGAGAAATCCTGGGCGTGTCTTCCTCGGCGTACTTTGTCTGATTTATGATGGCCTCACTTGTGCAGCATGTACGTTACAGGAGGAGGACTGAGGCCGGACGTCTTTCAGGGAGACCGTTATGGTCATACCTGCTGCCTCCATGCTTGTTTCCT